ATGTCTGCTTATTTGAAGCGAGAAAGAGCGCTTGACACTGGCATGTGCCTGTCAAAACTGAGCTTCGTATGTGTTAGCAGAAACCGAATGTGGTTGATTGGCTAATCATGAGCATAAGACCAAATCTCGGGAAACTGTGCCACGTCTAGTAACTGCTTGAGTTACCTGGGCTAACATTTGTCAGATACGCTTGACAACAAAGCCCACAGTGCCAGCAGAAGCCACTGATGCTGAACGGCCCACTTGAGATCGAATTGTAGAATTTGAGCCAATAGAGTCGCCATATTCCCCTCTGCTGTCGTAACTGTCCAGTTGATCCCACAGAGCCGCAGATTTCGCTGGAAACAGTCAGAGTAATGGCATTTCGTGGTCAATGTGACTGGTTTTTCCGGTTATTGTAACCGCATTTTGGCATTTGCTGGCCAAATCCTCAGCACAGCCTGTTCTCACTACAACAGGATTGGGAGGGTTTCGACAGCACCCGAGAGAGATGCGACAGCAGGGGAGATCGTCTCACGTGGTCGCGCCCACGCCACTGGCACTTTCGCAAGTCTACAAAACGCCGACCTCGTCGCTTCGACAGACAACACTTGCCAGCACCCAGAACTCCACGTCTTCGCGCAGCCGAGTGACCCCGTCGGAGTGGAATTCGCCACGCACACCGCTGAAACAGGTGAGATGGTGACGGTGTGCGTCTGGCAGTGTTAGAGTTGGCCTGGCTGTTAACTGTAAATTACAACTGTCCTGTGATGTGTTAAGGTGCGTTACGACACGAGAGGTCCCGTGGAACTAGACGCCAGCTGGCATTCCAGGAGTTCATCGGAGCCTAGTCAGAATTTTCGACTGGAGGACGCGCTGACTGTCGTAACTCTCCCCGGTTGATGCGAAACTTTTCTGTGACCTCGTGCTGTCATGCCGTGTCGTGACCCAGTACTTTCACATTTGATGGGAAGTGTGCCACAATTTTTAAGGTGTGAACGTTAAGGCTTTAACGCCATGCCTTCGAATATCTTTCTGAAATTTTGGCACTGAGTCACCATTTTGTAATGCCTTTCGTTGTGAAATCAGTATCCTTTAAGTTACACTAGCCCCACGGCATCTTAATTGGCCATAAAATGTGTCTGTCGGCTATAAGTTGAACCGGCAACTGTTTCGTTTTTGGCGAATGGCATAGCAGTTAATTATGCCAACTACCATCCCACGAAATGCCACCGTTCCAGAGGTCTGTGTGTGTTATCAGTCTACAGTGGGTGAGTCATTTTCGGTTTGGGGTGGGGGAATACCGCAAATACCTTGGTCGTGAATGTGGGTTTCTAGTTCATAAACAGCCGGTTATGTGGTGTTTACTTAGGGCATAACCAAAAATTAGCATTAAACATCCCCTATTGTGGCTCCTCGTCAGTTTTTCTTTCTAATTTTGCCATAAATTAAAAAAATCAAAAAAACTGCTTGATCTACCGGCTACCGGATGTGATCGCGTGGGCCGCACTCACATGACCAGAGGCAAACGTTAATTAGTTGACTTAGCCTCAACTTGAACGCTGTTCATTGGCTGTTTTGCCAGAGCACGAGGACGACTGCTATTGGCTACCACGCGTGACGCGTGGTTGATATTCTCATTGGTTGTGAGTTAATTGCTCAGATGCCCAGGTCAACGTCGCTCTGATTGGTTCGTACTTACGGAGGCTTTATCAACGCGCACAAACATTACACAACTCACTGTAACCTGTTCATAAACAGATGTGAAAATGCCAAAATAGATTCGAAGATGCAAATTTTTACCGTTGATGAGTTAACTCAATAAGAGAACAGGTAGAATGAAACTTCTAGCCAGTTTTTTAAATAATAACGGCTCTGGGGAATGTGGGCGAAGTTTTACAGTGGCTCAATAGTGATTTTTGTGGAATCAGACAGATGAAATTTAAACAACCAATCACCTTCGCGTGTACTCTGACCAAATAAACCTTTGCGCTGAAAATAACTACTTAGCTCGCTCTTCAAGAATGGTCCAAATGCGATCATTCCCGGTGTGGCCTGTTTTGGGCAAAAATGACAGAACACGAAAAATTCTTTATTTCTATTGGTCAGTTTGAGGTTGTTGTTTAGTCGCGTTTAAACACGGAGTACTTGCGGATGACAGCGTCTTGGTCGATTGTGGAAAGCAGGGAAGGAGCATTTGTGAGGAGAGTGAATGTGACGAAGACGGTCACCACGGTGAATGTGACCAGAACCATTCGGTCAATGACGGAGGCGGCGTACTTCCACTCTTGGACTAGCTGAAGACGTTCAGGAATTCAAAAATAATTCATGAAACTCAAATAGGCAAAATCTAAGCAATCATTTACCGAAACAATTCAAAGGTGAACAATTAAATCAAAAAGCAAATTGGCATTTGATGAATTAGTTTGGAAAGCATTTTCCGTGGGTGGTGCGGCCTAATTCACGGACACTTGCCAATTGGTTTAAATCGTAAATTGAAGAATAAATCGTTGTTATTTCCTTACAAAACATGATGGTTTAAGCCAACAACGCGGCAAATTGCAAAAACACGAGATTTTCCTGAATACTCTCTACTCCACAAGTTACCGCAACATTAGTGGTCAACTTAGAGCTGCTGTGGTTGAAAGACGTAAATTGTTTTGATTTATCTGCCGTAGACAAGCCTAAATGAACGCAAGAAAATCGAGTTTTTACTGTAAATTCCACTGCGGGACCAAAACAGACACTGCTTTGAGGACGTTATATGCATTAACAGTTAATGAATCACACAAAAATGTGAACGTTGGTGTCTGCCTGTTGCGTACATGTCTGTATCATAATTATGCCCATAGCTGTCAGTGTTCAAGTGGGCTAGAATTTGTTCAAATTGCCCACACATTTTGTAATTTATGATTATCATTTGGCGCAGTTTCAGTACCCAAAGCGAAACTATTTCTGGTTAGAATGTTTGGGTCAAGCAGAAATAAATAAAAAAAATACTTCCAATAAAAAGGCTAGTTTGAAATTGATGAATTGGATTTCCTTTTCTGATTGGTTGATACTCGCAGAAGTATTTTATTGGACGAAATTAAAAGAGGGCCATTTATCAATAAGTTTGAATTTATCAATGCTTTGTAATCTGCCAATAGAGAGCACCAATTAATTGCTTTTTAGGAACCAATCAGTTAACAGAGCCAATCAAATTTAAGGATGCGGATTTCAGATAGGCTGAGTTGATTGGCTCAGAGCGGCGCTTACCAATCGATCTTTCCTCCGTTCGTCCAGTCGACTTGTGATATAATCCACGGCCTGTAGACCCTCACGTAGAGTGAAACCTGCACCCTCAGGAGGTCGATAATGACTACTTTGTGTGGAAGACGCAGTGGTGGAAGAATTGCCAACGTTAAAATCCATCAAGCTGCTTTCCTTCCAACGACATTTGTCACCGCATTCTCCCCGATATCTAGCACGTCTGCCGATTCGACGGGGTGAGCTGTCTAGTTGACGGATCTCCACTGGTCCGTTCGATACGACGTGTCTGTTCACGTAGATCTCGTCTTGCCCACTCGCTGTTGAAATGCCCGAGTAGATGCTGCTATTGTCGCCCTCAGAAAGCTCGAACGCCGACGTTTTCAGGTTCTCGTAAGTATTTATCCTGCCGGGTGTCACAACTGCGTCCCCTGAGACACGATCCTCCACGCAGGGCGAGTTTTCGCTTTGGTAAGAACTAGCCGAATTGCTGGAAATGGAGGAGGTGAACTCGATTGAGGCGCTCTCTGGCAGTTCATGGATAAAGGCGTCGTTGGCGTTCTCGCATGTGTGGCAGTTTACAACTACCCTCGGCTGAAGTACATCGTCCACGTCAACTGTGTCGTCGAGCTTCTGGAGCTTGTTCATGTAGAGCAGCCGAGGCAAGATTTCAAGGAATAGTCGACGTGTCCACGGCGACATTCTGTGTGTTCTTGGCGATCGATAATTCCAATTGACCACGGCGACAGCCATGAAGACGGCGAATACGTCGAAGATGAAGGTGAACATCAGGTATCGCGATATGAGTGGCACCGTCGTGGATGTCGGTGGAAGGATCTTGCTGACGAGGATGAGGAAGACCACCAGGGCCACGACAATGCTGATGGCTAGCGTGACCTTTTCGCCGGCATCTGAGGGCAAGTAGAACACGCAGATGCTTAGAAGGGAGATCATAACACACGGTGCTATCAAGTTGACGGTGTAGAAGAGCGTTTTCCGGCGCAGTTTGATTGTGTACACAATGTACGTGTTCTGGACGCCGCCGCTGGTCGTGTTGACGATGCGACCTGGCACATCCACAAGGTCCCAGGCTCCATTCTTCCAGTAGTCGGAGAGGTCCACAAAATCCAACTTGGAGTAAAAACCCATGGAAATCTGTGAAAACGAAAACAGAGTTCTGACTAACATTCTGCTTGACATTTTAGCCCGACGACACACGTGGCATTTTACCAAGGCATCGGGCAGTATTTCATGTCCTCAGTATGAAGAGGCATACACAATCGGTTATATTCGTTGTCATTCGCATTCCAACGCACTCTTGGATGACTCACTAGACCCGCTGGATGTGTCCAAACTAGGATGTTTAATTTGGTGTGTCATTTGTTGCGACATGGCGTCGATCGTTAGAGGGCGCCTCAAGGTCACGAGAAACGCCAGAATGTCAATTTGTCCAAGGTCACGGGTGCTGCAGCTAAACAAAAGAATCCAAATTGGTAAAATGTAGCTTTTTTATAGACGGAAATGTGTTTATTTGGAAAATTTAAGAAATGGTAGGTGCTTGTTAAGGAATGATCAGAAGTCACTCGTTTTCCTTTGCCTGAATTATAAAAAAGCGAAAAAATTGAGATTCCCGCTCTCAGCGAAATCAACCAATGAGCATTGGGTGGAGTTCAGTTCAGTGTTGCGCGATCAAATTTTTAGAAATAATCATAAGATTTGCCTGGCGAGGAATTTAAAAAAGCTAAAATTTACCCTTGTTGCGTCGAATGCCCAGCTACCGAACTTCATTTCGCATTCCTGTTCGTCGAAGGGAAAGTATTCCACATCGATGGCACAAGAACTCTCGTACACGGCCGGTGGCATCCACAGAATGGAACCGTCGTGGTGAACAAGGAGGTTCGGCTGCCAGACCACCTCATAATTCCCGTCAGCACTAAAAATGCGTAACACTATGCACCTATTGCGAAGCGGCTATGCTGACCAATAGAAACTGTGCGTGTGAGCGCGCTACTCAAACCACTCAAATTGATTTGTGTGCGCCTACTTGTTGAAAAGGACTATATCCGGTTTCCAGACACGATTGTGCGGCACTCGCACCACACTTAAACCTCCGTACTTTGCCGGATCCCATTTCAACTGATAATCCTTCCACACCTAGAACAAAAAAACAGGTTTTCAAGTGGCATAGTAAGCAGCAAATTAAATTTAAATCACTATCTACCGCTGCGCAGTTTAAATTTGGCTCAATTTAATGATGCGAAAATCGACCGCCAGGTTGTAGTGTATTGCCTTGGTTTAAACAAAGCTCACCATCGGTAGCCAAACATTGCTCTTCATGACTTGGCGACGTTCATCCTAAAAAGCAGGAAAATTACAGCCGAAAAATTTGTTGGATGTCTGCCACAGTGTGACCACCCAGGCTGGTCAAAATTATGCTAATCACTCATGCGAACCACCAGTTCACTCGCTTCAAAGAGCAAACTACTTTTCGATTGGAGAATTTAAAAAAGCCGCTTAAGTAACCTGATGAGTGATTAAAACAAGTTGCTGTTTTAGGCAATGGGCAAGCACTAAATGATCTTATTTTTAAATTTAGGCGAACTATAGCTAATCTGTTTCGAATCTGTTTAGAAGTATGCCATACTTGCGTGATAATGACACAAATCAAGTTTTTGCTACTGAAATAAAAAGTAAGTAGGCTTAAGTAGTGAGGTAACATACAATGTGTATCAGCTGAATCATGCAGAGGCCAAGATTGACCTGGACAGCGTCTGAAATGTTCGCCACAGGTCGAATTAGTGGATTGTAGCCTTGTTCGTTGAAAAGGTAGTTCGTTAATTCGAACTCCTGTTCAGAGGCCACCTTTGTTCTGGTTTGGTCTATCAAATAAGATGTAAGCTTTCTTGTCAAATCCTCATTAATCTGTAGAAAGTAGCAGGCTGTCGGTGTGCGTGTTTGGCGAACGCTTTCAATCGGATACTGGTTAACTTTGACTAAGCACAATCAGTTAAATTCTGGCCAGATATAAATGACCTCTTTTTCGGACACTTCTGACCTTCATTTAAAAAGTGATAAGCGAGTTTTTTTGTGCAAATTTTGCATTTTTTCAAATTTTATTGCGGTTAAGTAAACAGTTCTAACAGGGCCTGATGATTGGTCCAAACTCGAGGTCATGATTTGCAAAAAATCGATACGATTATTGATTTCCAGCAACTCTAACTAGTCGTTACTTCGTTGTTTAAACGAAGCCAACGCAACAAAGTTCAAACCGTCTTCACTCTATCGATTCGATTGATTTATTGCCGCGCCTGCATCACCTGATTTACAAACTTGCATATTGTTTGGATTGCTTTAAGCCATTTCATCAACGATGCTCCGTAAAAATGCAGCGGGCTGGAATCAGTTCCTGGATATTAGAGATGGAATCGTAGGAAATTTCTGCGCTAAGCGAACACCCTGGCAAAACACTCGGCCATCACGTGACTTCACCCACCCACACTCTGTCATGCTTCTTGTTCTCTTGAAGTACTACCACCCAGCTCCAAGGTAATCAATCATGGTTCCAGTGACACCTTATTCCCCCTCACCAAATACTTCGTTTGCACGAAAGGCAGAAGCCAACTATCCGCCCAATTACATGCTTCTCTCAAGGTCACCTGTTAATTGACCAATGGAATTGAAGAAGACGAGAAGACAACTCACAGCCCCTTTCAAAGGCATCGAAGTACCACTGACGTGCTGGAGTGCGACTTGTCTTCGTGTGCGAGGGGTTGGCGGACTTGGCGTCCATCGTCGTGACGAGTGGAGGCGCAAGAACACCAACGACGCCACCACCTCGGCAGATGTCCACGACGCAGACGATGCAGATGGTGAGGCAGACGAGCATTTTACGTCGTGGTTGATGTGGAGAGCAGGAGTTGTTCGTCTGAGTGACACGTCTAATCGTGCTCAACCACATTTAAACTAACCGGCGCTAGCCAATCAGATTTCGCTCACTGTATTCTCTCGTTCTATTTGCTACAACCACCGTGATTGGGCAAAACAGCCTTAAACTCAGAGGCTAGCTCATAGCGGGTAAAACTGAATGACACATGAGAACGCGTTTCGAAATTGCGTCATTTTGGTGCCCTTTGATGGCGAATGCGGTGTTTAATTTCGTGCGTCGTCAGATCCGCTCTTTCTAGTTCATTTTACTAAGTAAGTGCAAGTCATGAAAACTCCAATCCTGTTAGCCAATCATAAGCCGAGATGATTAGCCAATGGGATGCGCGCTTGGTCGATAAAACTGCATTCGATGCAGTGGGCATCTACTATCCAGAATTTGAAAGAATTCAAATATTTTTTTATTAAACACTCGGCCAAAGTAATTGTCCACCTGCTTGCATGCTGATTGCTGGGTTTGTGATAATTTTTTGGCGCTAGCTTCAAAATTTCCCAAGCGCGGCTTTTTAAATCACACTATTAACCTAACTTTGAACCATGCTGACGAGCAATTAATCAGTTAAAATATTCAACTTGGAAGAAATCTTTAGAAGAAACATCGTTGCCCAAGTGGAATCTTACATTTTGTAAAGCCTAGTTTCAGTTTGATAAAACAAAAAGTTACTGTTTTTTTAAAAAGTGTACAAGATTGCAACCCCTTTACGCAGTCTTACCTTGTGATATTTTGATTTTCCAAATAAAATAGTGTACATTCAGCAAAATCATTATATTTTTTGCGTTGTCAGCGGAAAAAAATGGACAATTTAAGAAGAAAACGTTAGTAATTGGTATCAAGCATTAACATAAAATAGCATCAACAAACGGTTTCCAAGATTGCGTTTCTTTCAGAAATGTGGCCTTTCTTTCGTCTTTACACGGCGCCAATTCTTTCCAACACGACTGTTCTGAAAGTGCAGACGGAATGTGTAAGTTTGGAGTTTTAAAAATATTGTCCTACTAACTAATTTACAGTAGAAACGTTTTTACACTGCCACTTGCCTTTCAAATGACCTGCTCAAAAAAGGTCATATTGACGGCTGGAGGACTGCGTAGCGGTGGTTTTGGCAGAGAGGGGAGACTGCTTCGGAGATGTGCACCGTTTGACAGGGGTTTGACAGTTGGGCGCATCACGACGCGCTGGGGACTCTGTCTCGATGTCCCAGCCATGTCGATGTGCACAACAGAGCGATAGATCTTCCTTAGCCCTGATTGGCCCACCGCCGGCCTTGAACTGTCTGCATTGACACACGGCGTTGAACCAAAGGTCAATCTAAGAGAAACCGGAATGCCACCTTCCAGTGGATGCTGATCGATCAGACGAGGCGTAGGCGATTCGGCACTGAAGGGTCGTCGAAGGTCGTCTGCCGAGGCGACCTTTGAAATACAGATTTGCCTTCCTGTGGCCGCGATGCTCAAGGCAAATGGCGTCTCCGTTTCGATGCAAATGTCCTCATTCGAAGCTATACGGCCTACAATGAACTTGCTTGGACGTAGTGCCTGCACCCGAGGCCTTTCAAGGCCATTCGATGTGGCGTCGCCCTTGTGGACGCTTCGTAGACCCTTCGACACGTCCGTTACGAGTGGATACGCCTAGGTGACAAATACCGTTATCTAGCATTCTTCAGACGACACACCACTGTCTTAGTTCGCGTTAAATGAGCGCACAAAATAAACCCTACTATATAGAAATAAGTAGTAAAGAATAAAAGCGTACTGCTGCATCAATGGGTGGTGGAAGTGTCTTCGGTCCAACGCTTTTACTCCGAGTGACTACGGTCAAACTGGAACCATGTGGAACTGCTGGAGCAGCCACAGGGGGTGTTTGGTGTCTGCTGGCGTCGGATTGGTTCTGTGAGAGAAAAGGGGTTGTCACCTTGACCATATTTCCATGGCGACTCTCAACCGTTTGACCCTTTAACGGATTCAGCACCACTGATGCGGCCGTCGTGGTTTTTGGTGGTCGTGGACGTACGTGGATTCGACCGGTCCCGTTGAAGGAGGACGTGGCCACCGACATTTTGAATGGCGCTGCTCTGTCGTCTGTAAGTTAAAATTTCGCGCGATTCAGTTGTTTAAAATAATTGTTTGTTAAGAATGGACCACAGCTGCAACTGACTCATGAATAAGAGGTTGCAATTGATTGGCTTGGCGAAGCTGCGTTAATCGTAGCCTTTGATGCATGTAACCTTAACTAATATCATAACGATGTACGAGGGCGCAGACATGTTGGACAACGACGGTCTCAGCCAATCCTCGGTCCCTTTACAATCAAATGCAGCCAACCAGAGACAGACATGAATAATTGAAAACGTACCATTGAAGTTTAAGTTGGCAGTTGAAGCCACAGGGGGATGAATGTTGGATTTCGCTGTGTGTCCAAAATAATCCCGTCCGAGTATATTGGTTGAGCTAAAATTTAAACACGCGTCTATGTCTACTGAACAACATTCAGTAGATTGTGTTGTGTCGTTGTTTATTTAAACTATCGAAGCTACTCCTAATGTAATAAAGCACAACTCAGAAATGGAATTATATTCTCTTTAGTTCATGGATTATCGTTAGATGACAAGTTTGCCGTCATGTCTGCTTGCCTCCTTCCTACATGGCGAATAAAATAGGTTCAAACTTTGTTTAAATTGCCTCCGATTACCATGACGGCGCAAACCTGATTCATTTGAAAATAGTTTGTGTTCTCACATGGGTGCTGTTACCATGCTACGTTTGTGCACACTAATTAAATACCTAACCAAATACTACGCAAATTTCAGAAACCCCAAGAAATTTAGTTTGTTAAATACTTGGACACTGCTGTGCGATCAGTGCATTACTCACAAAGACTGTTAACTGAATTTTAGGCATTTTTCGCTACACAATTTTGATTAATTTAATCTTTTTAATAATTTTCCCGCACTGTAACGCAGATCAGAAAATTACGCCTACTTAATTTAAATCAGTAAATTTTCAAAGGGATTGACGTGGGCATGCAACGTCATGCGCTACAGATATTAGACAGGCGGGAAGGCCAAAGCAGGCGGTAAAGGGGCATGCGATATGGTGATTTTGAACTCAAAATAAACTCATAAATAAACGGACCTGGTGAAACAATCTACCAATTGTTGATTTCTATTGGTCGTTGAGCCACACTAATCATACACTTATTGATTTTTGACGAAAAAACCCGCAAATTTGGAATTCTGCTCGGTTTTGTTACTCCATGCTTGTCTGTCAAGCATTGTGGCTCAGTTGACGCTCCGAGGCCGTTGAAAAATAAGCCTTCATTGCAGAAAACCTTTAGTGTGTCAATAAGTGCCTCACGCGTCGAGGCGCTGGGGTTAATATGTCTGAGTGTGCATGCAAAAATGTGCCAGCTTTCATGCACTCGAGGTTAAATTTAGCCTGACGGCGCTTTTATGGCTACAAAACTGACAGAAATGACATGCTAGAGGGCATAAATGCCGCAGTCCCGATGTTGACAGGAAGAATATTTCAGCGACTGAAATCGCAGGCTTCGCGGACGCTGATTAACTTAGTGAGTAGTATGGGAATTCGAAAAAAACTACATGGGATAATTGTAATTAGTGGCTTTAATTGCACTTGTGGTGAGCTGGTTGGCTTAAAATGAGAAGAAGTCGAGGAACTGTCCAGATGGAGGTGAAGTGAAGACAGTGAAGGAGGAGGTGGCTGAAGGAGACTGCTGTGGGAGTTAACCCTGGTCCGGTTACACTTCCCTGATACCCGCGATGAAGAAGATGACCGTAGAGGACGTGGACACAACCGGTGCCGTTGTGTCGTGTGTGGGGTTTGCGCGTGTGTATTTATACCTCGGATGTGTGAGTCATACATGCGCTAACATCGAGACCTAGGTGTGAGGATGATCCAAGATAAATATCCGTGTGAATGAGGGGGGAGTTGCGGATCCGCGCGGCTGGTGACGTGCTGCGAAAAAGGGGAACCCTGTGTCGGGGGGTGGAGTGAACGGATTAGCGAATGTGAGCCAATCCGCTTTACAACAAGATATTAGGTGAAGCTGGAGAAGTACAGAAGAAGATTGGAGGAACGGGGAGGTGATAGAAGGAGGTGGAGGAGAAAGGTGGAGGGAGGAAGTGGAGGAGGAGCTGAAGGTGGCATAGTTGACTGGCATTTAAGGAGGTTGCCACCCAATTACACACTGTCACACGACGATCAATCACTACGTCATAGCCAATAGGAGCAGCCTCAAATCGATAATTAGTGACTGCCATTTGTAACAAGAACACGGATAGCTGAAATTGCTGTCTTTACATTTACAAAATCGATTAATAATAAAAAGATTTATCTCAGTTTGGGTTCCAGGGCATGCAGAGCAAGTGAAGGCGGCAGGCACATTCAGATGGCAGTTTCGCGAACAGTCGGTGGTAGAATAGTCCGACGTGGAGCTTAAAATGAGAAAAAAAGGCAGCGCATGCATTAGAGACGCCAGAATCTACCAACTCACCGAAAGCCTGCCTGCGACGTGTGCTGCAAGGGACCTTGTGCGTCAGCCAACCAATTGCGTTTTTCTTCTGTGCGCACTTGTGTGTGTGGCGATGTCAAAAGAAACAAACAATTTAGTGACTGCCCATTTGTGGCTATGATTGGCTTATCTGCAACCACGCCATGCCATGCTGCTATGGACTAAATTAGTCATTGACGCAGGTCAAATGGTATGACTGAAAAACGGCGAAATTTGACTTTCTGGTGTAGTGCCAAAATCCATACATTGAAAGAAAGGTGAGACGATGGTTTTTATTTAAACTGACGCTTCTAAAGACTTCCTGCTTTCAGTGTGATTGCACACAACGCTTTAGATTCAAATCTGCCTCCCCCATCCTATTGGTTCATGCAATTTTTGGATGTGCTGATCGTCGTAATTGCTGTGAGTGTTGACATGGTTAGCAATTATAAACAACCATCGAGTCAGCCAAAATAGCGGCCTCAAACAGTCCCCAATGGATCGAAGCGTGAAGTTTTGGGCTACGCATAACAAACCAACCAATCAGAAAACATGTGAGCTCAACCGTGACCAATCGCCTTACAATTGCCAACCTTGAGGCTACAGCCGTGATTACATCGACAATCAACGCACACCTGCAGTCGAATTCACACAACCTTCTCAGTGTAAACTAGATTTTTTCTACGAGTTAAAAAAAAACCACTTTCAGTTGTCACATGCGATGCTGGTTGCAAGATCATCAACATGCATCTCACCACCGACAGCCACACGCTGGTTGAAGGCGTCCCTCACAGCAGCGTTGGCAGCTGTTGCCAAGCTGAGGGCTTCTGCGTAGCCAGACAGACGGTGTCTGGAGCCTCCTGAGCCGTAGCCCATCGAATCGACTGGAAGGAGCAAAGGTACCGGCTGATTCCACTTACCCTTCAAATGCCCAGCTCCGTTTATTTGGCACTGCATCGCTATTAATTTATCTAACCCCTCATATCCCAAATTTCGGCTAGACGCTAACATCTTGAAAGTGCAATTTCGACGGAAAAACAACGGGGCACATTTGTACCTTTAGGGCGCGGGACACTTTGTGGTGAGGCGAAGGTCGACATCTGAGGTGGTGGATGGCTAATTGGTTCGCGGAAATAATGAGCTCCAACATTTTGGTAGACGTTGGTTGGTGGAGTTCTGAAGTATGCTGGTTCGTGGCTACTGTAAAACACAAATTCAGTAGTAAACTGCTTAAATTAACGAAAATTATGCAGCAGTGCTTTTCGAAGGTGATGATTGGTCGAAGCAAATTCAGCCAATGAAATATTGAATTTTGGAAGATTTAAATCAGGCGCATAAGGATGCCTTAGTTCCTGAATATTACCTAATGTTTTTTTTTAATTAAAACCTGTTTACTTCTCACACCCAAGCATTCCAGCTAAGTGCGTTATTTAAAGTAACACAACACACCACGCAGAGACAGATAAAATCCGCAGTACTTAGGGGCCAATAAGAACGTGAACTTAGGGAGGGGACTATTTAAAGCTGGTTACAGTTTGACTTATGCTGTGATTGGTTGACATTTACCGGAACGGGGACAAATTAGAAATCCTCGAGTACAGCGTTTTCACAGGTAACTAATTTACTGCCGTGGGTGGTACAGTTAATGACATATGTGATTTTAAATGTTTCATTACGTCAAGCGCATCCAATAATATTCCAAAAAAACAAATTATTCTTTTCCTAGAATCAACCAATCAAAATACCCGGTATCGGAGCGTAAAGGTAACTTAAAAAGTAACGCAGTCTGTTTAAACAAAGATGGTCTACATCTCAACCAACTGGAACGCAGTGGAAAACAAACTAATTACCACGCCACAGAATGTGATTGATTTACCGAAAAAAATCGGGACACTGCGTGAGACTTACCCGTTTTGGGGGGAGGTCGTGAGCAATGTTGGCTGGCGTTTCGTAGGTATAGGCGAAATCGACGTGATTGGCCGGCCGAGTCCACCGAACAACCGACTCTCATTGTGATTGGCTGGTTCCGGGCCTCTTGTGAATGGTTGAAATTGCTGCTGAAGCGGCTGATGCTGCTGTAGGATTAAGATGAAGCACATTCATCTGTGGTCACTCCAGATGCTAACAGCATAAATTGTGATTGGTTACGAGGTTGCCTCAAGCCAATCCACTTACCGTATTTTCGGGCATTTTGATTGGTTGCTGTCGACTCTTCCGTCGAAGAGGCTTCGGTCGTCTTCCCGGGACATTCAGAACCTCGAATTCATCATCATCGTCAGTTGGTGAAGCTATGAACGACCTGTTGGCACCTTGCATCGCCAAATTCACGTCGGCTTGCCATTGGGCGATTTGCTGAACTTTGCTGGCCCAATCACAGTCGTCAGATGGTCTCGCCACGGGCATTGTCACCTTTCCAAACTGCTGACTGACAGGATTGACAATCGCGGCCTGTGATCGCTCCGTTATGCGTGGACGGGCAGCTACGCGCGGCGTGTGATCTTGCGCCTTTGCACCAAATGACTGCGATGTGTTGCCCAACGCGGACGAAATAACTGTGGTGTCAGTGTGATAGCGGTTTCCGACGCCGCTCCTCTCTGATTGGCTGTGGTTTGTTTGCGCAAAAACCTCCACCTCCTGCGTCACCACCTGGTCTACAGAGGGCGCTGTGGAAGCATCGCTTTCACGTCTACAAGCACCTTCCAACTGCAGCGTCTCCACAGAGGATTCTCGCACTGCCTCGGCGTCTTTTTCGCTCGGTGGACTGGAAATGATCTCACTGATTGAAGTCGTTACCGATGTGGACGGACTAGGCGGGGGATTGCGTCGAGGTATTTGTGGGGAGGAGACCTCCTTTGCTGGCAGCACTCCACGACTGTCGTCTGGAAGGTGGACGGCTGGTTTCTTGGACGAGGTCTGCGCCACCTGCCTCACAACCTGCTCACTTACCACCGGGGGACAGTAGACAGTCTCGAATGACGAGCGTCGGTTTCCGTCCAGAGAGTAGAGCTGACGCTCCACGCGGTTGTCCGGTGCAGTGTACACCGATATCTGACAGGCTTCGTCGTCTTCTTCGCCACCTTCAAGGCTGGAGTTCAAACTCCACCTGGGGTTGGTCAATTTCAACTCAGGTGGAACAACAAGGAAGCTGGAGTATGCGGCACTTGGCTCCGCCACGTCAGCTGGAGATATCCCGATGCCGGATTCTTGCTGAGACAGTTCCAGACCGTCTAGAGCACTCTTGGGCGCATCAATGAAGGGGATGTCCGTGAGGAGGGACGGGGAGGACGTGGCCTTCGCCTGCAGGTACAGAGTGTTAATTCCGGCGGTGGTTAGGTTAGTGGCATCGCTTCGCATCGACTCGAACCCATTGTCGTCGGTTGCGGGGTCGTGGACGCAGTTGGAGGCTATCATTTGTTCCAACTCGCTGGGAGACACAGAGGTATCTGATTGGCTGGAGCCACGACGGGTTAGGACCAATCGAGGCACGTTAAATTGGAGACTTGGAATTTTGCGTCCCTACTCCCACAAAAAAGGAACTTTTAGACATAAAACTTGCAAAGTGGGACAAACATTCTTCGTGAATTGTGACAATAAGTCTAGTGTGCTTCCATCAGACAAAAGATTCGCTTTGTTGAGGTTAGAAAAGAGAAGCAACTCTGACATTTCCGGCACTAAATTCTTGTGAGTGTCGATTTTTGTTGACATATTTCAGCGATATTTTAGAGGTGTGGTCAGAAAAATTGCTAGAATATGATGATCAGCAGCCATTGGTTGCCCTTAAGGATTACTTTGCCACCAAATTTTAAGAACATTCACGAATGACAATCGTTGCAAGATAATTAAATTATTCAAGTACAATTCCTCCGTTTACCAATGACCAATGAAAATATATGCCACAATTTATCTAGCAATTTGTATCGGGCCAGACAAATGTTGGGATGTCACGTGATAATACGGCGGCGCGTCACATCAAAAAGCTTGGTGACATTACAATTTTGAAGAAATTTTTAGCAATTTGTCTCTTACGAGCCTACGTTTGGACGTTATTTGGTTGATTTCTAACACCTAGACAACAATTGTCAAGATAATCGATGGATATTTTTGAACTGCCGCCAACTAACCGCCGAGCCCGTGGACCAATCAGCGCGGAGCTCCAAACAGAAAGGCTTTGAGGTGTGAAAGGCCGGTTTGTTATTTTAGACCCGGGTATAAGACGAGGCCTACACAGGAAAGAAGTTGCCAAGAGCCCTAGTAATTGGTTTTACCAGTTGAGAATCTAAAACCCCCACATATCAGTGGCAGAATCAGTTGCCGCGTGGTTTAAAATGTTTTTGACGACTTCTGAGGCAGTGATAATGTTCAATGCCAGCAAATTGCCACTATTTCGGCGCAGGTAAGTGGTTTTTTTCGCAATTAATCTGTTTAAGGAGGATTTTGTGAATTACTCTGCAATTCCATCGAAAGACACACTTTGCAAAAAGTTGTAAAACAATAAGAAAATCGATTCAAACTACAGAAGTGCGTGGCGCTTACTTGACACCGCGGAGATTGCAATAAAATGAGGCGAAGATAAGAGGCTACAGTGACTACCTGCTCAAAGACAGCATCAGCTGTTTTCTAGTGATCCAGTAAGATCATACCTTAACGCTGATTGGTTGCGCACCTTCACAAAAAGCAGATTTTTTGTTGAGCGTAGCACATCAAAAATAAACGCCATCCTGACAGCAAGTACTTGATGATAGCTAACTAAACAAACTATTTTATCCTCAGTACGAGGTTTGGCGAATGCTCGGCGTGTTAATAGCGGATTTAGGCTAGGGGGAATTCGACATTCAATAAAATGTGTTTGCGATAAAGAACTATTCGCCTTCAAAATTTCTGCCTGAAATAAGAGAAACTATGTTTCAGAAAACATAATTAATGTGGCAACCTAACAAATATATATATTTTTAGAGTAATGTCAATCTATTAATTTCAAGAAATTTTAACAAAAATGTAGTAAATTTCATTAAATTTTGCTTTCGTTAATGCTGTTTAAATCATCCTTGTTAAGATTTGAGCGTCAGATTTCAAATCACCAAGACAAAACTGGGCCACAGATTAGAAAATCGATTTTTATCGATCGGCTTCCAGGTTCATCGCGGTGGACTACTTTGCGTTAAAGATGTCATTTGGCGGGCATTTGTCTGGTATTCAGCTCAGAATTTTGATTAAAAAATAAAAAAAAGAAACAAACAAACCAACACTTTTGGGGTAAAAAAGAACCACCTGTTTATCCTACGCGCTGATGATTCATGTTGCAGCAAACATCGGAAGAAATTAGCGCCTGTAGCGAGTGCAGGTTCGGGGTGAACCGTGCGCCGAAACTACTGATTCACGCAACTTGGGGCCAATTAGTCAGGTTTTAGTGATGACTGAACGCTTCGCGCAGTTAACCACAAAGACCGTTTGTTAATTTACATGCGATGCAACCAACCTGGGTAGAAGGGAACGCGTATAATCACGGCAGAATGTGACTACGATATCAGAAAAACCAAACGCTCAACACGTGTTTACACTTGTGCTAGATGATCGGAAGAGGCTAGATAAGAAAAGGTATGCTGACTTTTGGCAAAAATAGGATTTCAGTAAGTAAACAGATCGGCCTATGTTTTAGTTATCTGATTTCTTTCATCACGAACACACTGCTGATCCGCCTTTTTAGCGAGTGATGCCTCAACCGACTTGTGTGAAGTGCTTCGCGTCAAATTTCGAAATTCCAAAACTTGTAGGATTGTAAATTTTGCAGCCACAATGCACACAACCCACGTCAAGTCTGAAATCCGACAATAGGTGAAAAATGTCGCGTATTTCGAAGGTAAATTTCTGCTTTCACGAAGACGCGAGTTGTGTCCTGGATTTAGGACCTGCTGATTTTAAACTGAATATACAAATGGCGATGACTGTTCATCTGGATTTTGCAACAGCGCTTTTTTGAAAATGATAGCAAGAGGATCCGTGGGATATTTTATATTGTGCCACAATTAAACAGTTATGGAAAGGACACCCAAGAAATAGCATGGCTTTGTTTCTTACAAGAGTGGCTAAGATTATTGACGTCTCTAAAGTGAATGCCCATCTTTACACATTTGAATCTGCCGCGAAATTCGTTTAGGAAATTAAAACAGACTCAGACTTCCGGTTGCTTCTCAAATACATCTAAGACTTTGTTGATTTAATTTAAGATGTGTGCATTGTTTTAAATTTCACTAAATACTCAACCCATTTTTGCGATTTCAATCAATCAGGCAAGAATTTGAAAATAACCAATGGGGAAAAGAAAAACTTGTTTTGAATCTGCCAATAGAAACCCATTGGAAACTTGAGTACTACTTGTTCACATTAGCTGTGAGTCGCTACACCTAACTCCTCACAAAACAGCAGTTATTGCGCATTTTGGAGTCGCTTCATGCACCGTTTTTGGACGTGCGTGATTTCGCCAACGCATCTTCTCACACTTTGCAGAACAATGTCACAATTTTACTTAGAATGGCTTGAGAACAAGCACGTGTTCCTTCTTAGAGAACGGGAGCGAGGATTTCGGAAAAATTTAGCTGGTTTTAATCAACTCCTAATTTAAGAGGGGCTAGACAGATGTGTTACACAAAGGAAGCGTTCAATTTATCAGACTAAAGAGTAATGAGTTCCCAGGCGTTTTACTGTGTAGGAATTTGACTTGTGAATCAATCCACTTGTCTGTGCTACTTTGCGATTAATTAGAATTCAAATAAGGACCGGGAACAATAGAACCAATCACCTTGGAGGTCCTAAAATCGCGGTTTAAAAAGCAGTCGATTTAAACAAGCACGGAACAATCTCGAAACTTACCGCGTCCATCCCGAAAATAGCAATAAAGTCGAGCAATGGGGACAGACTGGCTGTGTTCTTATCAAATAATATGAAAGTGTGCAATCTGACCAGTGCAGTCGAATCTGCTACCAAGAGGTCCAGCGTGCGTGCACACTTGAGACGTGATTGGCTGACTGATATCTTTCGCGTGCGCACGTGTGTGCGCCCGCCCGACCGCGGTTGATTGCAATAATGGGTCAAGCTGACAATTCTGTTACCGAAAGAAGGGCCATATGCTTACTAAGTCGTCGTGTACTTTTAGTACCAGTGACAGTCGAGCGACCGCAGGCAGAGCTAGCAGCATTTTATTCCATTTGTCAAATTCTACGCGCCATGGCTAACAACCAACCTGATGACCAATAGCGTTTGAGGTAATTTCAAACAGGAACAGAACATTCGATTGTATCGCACGCTCACCCGACACTAACATAACGTTCAAATACTTAATATTTGAAAGCAAACTGGTGAATATTGCAAAACACAGAGGCAAAAAAATGGATTATTTTTGGCACATGACCGCTTATTAACTTTTTTTTAGTTACCAAGGCAATGAACGTATTACAAGGCATAAAAATTTTTGACAGCACCGTAATAAGTGCCACATATCGTACTTGAAAACTACGTCTGATATTCACCGTAGATATGGTACTAATCGTGAAACTAAATATGGCAACAGTGGATACCAATTTTGATGATGAACACAAACTCGAAAATACTTCGTACTAATGGCAGTTCACAGTTTGATAGGAAAGTAGATTCGAAATCAGTGAATGTCCGCAATGTTTAGTTGAACGTGGGCAATTTGTAGCCTCAAAAATTCCAAAATTTGCTTTTTGCCAGGAACCAAAAGTTCACATCAACAGCAGCTGAGGCCATCAAATAAATTGCAACTTTTCCCAAACTTTTTAGCATTCACAATAATAAAAAAAACTGTGTCAAGGCAGCTGTTCTTTCATGAGGCACACTAAAATGCAATCCAGGATTGCAAAACCCTTTGCTACTTACATTTAAAAGTAAGAAATGAAAGAAGGCAACCAGAGGTGGATAAAAAGTCACTTTATTTACGCATGTTCTCTAACTCAGCAAGCATGTACTTGATCCTCTCCTTCATTACTGGTTGGCCCTTTTTTGTTAATTTCCTCCACGCCACATTCCTCTCTCTTCGTTTCTTCTCTCGTGCTTTGCGTTTTTCTAAAATCATCTGTCTTTTTTCCTTTTTCGCCTAGAACGCGAATAATGCACGATTAGTTGGGGAAGAGTAGTCCTTACAATCTCCTGTACGCGCTGTTGCTGCATTAACTGCTTGAATTGAACTTTCTTAGAGTTGTCCTTATGCATTTCATTGAGGTTATTCTTCACTCTGCAAGCAAACTGTAGATAGACAAAGGGTTAGTAAAAACCATTACCCCATATTCTTCTTGGTTTTCATAGATTTCCTGTCGGATTGACGTTTATTCTGTGGTAGAGCCATCTGCAAGAGAAGAAAGCGGATGCCTATGATTAACAAAAAGAGAAATAACTCAATCCTACTTAAGTTAGAGAAAGTTAGACTGACAGCTATCGCTCTCTAGTTAGTAGATTATTGACTAAAAACAGGTGAAAAAATTTCACATCCGTGGATTCTAAATCAATACTAGACTATTTTGCTACACTGGATGCTTTAAACCGAGGCTCTGAAAACAACGGATAAAAAATTTAAGGTCATGTTACCAAAACGGCTTAAAAGTGTCAGAATGAAGGTGGACATAGGCACATTGCATCAAAAGCACAAAGATAAGATTTCAAGCGCATTATCAAACTAGAATAAACCGGAGAAAATGGAATATAATTAGGGAGAAAACATGTTGCGTTAAGACAGAAAGTACTCCAAAAATTGAGACTTCAGTGAGACTACACAATGTTGAAAACATGGGAAACCTATGCGTGAATAACCGCTTGGCATTCATAAACCAAAAAGTTTAAAGATACAAAAAAGTAGACAAAAAAAGCACACTAAAATGCTTGTTAATTTAAATTACTAGGCTTCAGAAAACAATGAACGTTAATAAAGAAATACTACTCACTTTTCATACGACAAGAAATCAACGCAGCATGACAAACAACACACACCAAATTAAATTAACGCCAATATTTTAAATGTCTTAAACAACGAAAAGATTTATATTTTCCGTTTTAGCAAAAGAATCTTTAGGGTCTACTTTTTTATGCTAATAATACAAAAAAGGTTCCATTTTATGTGGTATTATCTGTGACGCATCAGCACCGTTAGATCTTTGTGATTAACAAAGTAACACTTAATAGCTTTCAAAGCAGTAACAGTAGTAGATGTTGATTAATCGACCGTGAATAAATAAACAATTTCTCAAACGTAAAAATTCGAATTCAATGAAAAATGAACAAAATAATGCACATAATCTCCCGCCTCAATCAGTTATAGCCAATTTTAAATACAAAAATGCAATCAAATCATTTGCTTTTAAGTAATAATATGAAACTATATATACTTTTTTATATTCCTGACAGCTATCCTAATTTTACTTTTAATGTGACCTATGGCCAATGCAAATTAAATTCACTGCTTCAAAGTATTTAGTTAGATCTTCTTGAACGTGCCATATGGTATATTATTTTTGCTTTGAAGTCAGTTTATGTCCATTGTCACACATTTATAGCTTGCCCTGTTATTAACTATGAACGATCAGTGAAACTTGACAAAAGAGCTTAGTATTTCTGTAAACGAATTTCAATACAGTTTTTTTTTAAAAATCGTTGTCGTTTTTGCTTAATTCTTTTAATGCTATTTTGAAAACTAACAAATCATGCAGCTACTATTAATTTGTCTATTTTCGCGTTGTTTATAAGTTGTCGTATAATTTAAACTCATACTACATTTGAAGAATAAGGTTTCTTTGTTTTATTACAAGATTCTTTCACTAGAAATTAAAAAAAACTAGATAAGTTTAAATTTTCTCCCAAATTAATATCGTTATTAGTGAATTATTTACCTCTGAAACAAAATTTTATTCATCTATTGGTGATTAAATTCGTCTAAATTTGTGGCATGATTTGTAAAACACGATTTGGTTGAATCACCCTCTGTCCTTCGTTTCTTTAGACCTATCAATATGTTTATTGTGATCATAAAACCAATGAGGATACACCTAATTCAGGTTTTTGATTGGTGGCATTCTGTGGTGCATTTTGAAATGTCATAAATAGTTCGCTTTCTTGCTATGAGTCTGGTAATAATTTGCTCATTTTCCTTTTAAATAATGAACATTTTTTGAATGTCTTTATAAGACATTACCTATATGCTAATGTCCTTCTAATTATATTATTCAGCAATGTTTTGGACTATGGTCTCACAAATATTCTGAATTTAATGCCTAGAACACACAAAACTTACTCTTTAGTCAAATGCAAGTATATTGCAGTTGATATATAAATTCTCTAACACATGAAAACGGAATAAGGTGACCTGTTTGCAGCTTTATTGCATTGTTGTTATCCATTTAGTTAGGAACTGTGATTAGTTCGTCAACATTTTTTAGTAAATAAATTCACATTGAAAAAAATTATATATTTTTAATAAAAGTGATTTTTACCGGCAAGAAGCAATCTGGATCTAAAAAGCATTGTTTAGATTTTCACAAAGTTTTCAACATCAGTGTCAACCCAATCCTCAACTTGAAATGCTCCATGTAAAATTTATAATTTGGGTTTATTGTGCTGGCTAGATTTAAACAAGCCATTCTATGACAATTTTGGCCTGATTTGATGTGTTGTAACTCTACAAATTATGGTTCTGATATTCATGTGAATCGGAAAACAAATAAAGTTTTTCTTTGGTCCACAATCACTGTCACTGTTAAAGACTTGGCAAATGCTGTACATTTAAATATACGGCACCTATGTGTATTTTTCAAAGCTCGCATCTGTGTATGAAGTATGTCCCAATCACACGTCTGCGATCACTCTAAACCGTTGTTTGTAAATGCTGCTTGCGTCAACATTTTTTGGTGCAAAAACTCCAGGAAACTCTTGCAATTTTTTTACAAACACTGCTTTACTTGGTTGCATAGACACCGAAATATATATTCTGTGTGTTACATCTAAAACTTGCGCGTTTATAACAACTTTTGATGACAAATATACGCTTTATTACTTACGAAAAGTGTGCTTTGCCATTCCTTTTATAGAATATGGCTTTATTCGTCGAATATTATCGAAATGACATAGAATCGAAACCAGTGAGATGATGGATAGTCGAAGAGCGTTGGAGGAACCACCGGCACTTCCTCCCAAGTTGTATAAAACTCACCGCAAGGAGTTGCGCAAAGATTTCCCTGTTCGGTCTCCTGTTCCACCCAAAGAGTCATCCAGCAATCACAGTGCCACGGTATCATATTACTAGCTCTGTACTACTGGCCTTTTTTGGTAAAATCTTTACTGACACCATTTCTTTAATTTCAGAAGACACCCACTCCGAAGCCACCGCGTTTGGATTATCGACGTCATGGAGAAAATAGGCTCTTAAACATCGACGTTTCGGATCTTCGTGGAAAGTCTGTGAGTTATAAATAATTAGTCAATTAAAAAATGGAGATGTTTCTTGGTTTAGGTTTAGACCAGTTTGCATATATCATGTTTAAGATAATACCTAGTAGATGGTCGTCAGAGCCATACGATTTGCATGCCTTTTCTCATAGGTGTTGCTACAATAACCAACGAATGCCTCCAATAATTGTGGACCTGACGTTTGTGTCGTTTAGTGATACAATGTGGTGTTTAAGCACTTTTTTGCAAACCTCCGAATGAATTTCTTTTACGTAAAATGTTTCAGCGAGACGAAATCGTTTTGATGCTGCTTCAACTGAAACGCGAAAAAGCCAACCTCAACCGTTGGAGGCATTACTTCGAGGAAGAGCTAACCCGTCTCACTCCCGCAGCTGAGTGAGTTTGAATTTTTGTTGCGTTGTGATACACCGCATTCACATCGCGGGTGACCACATGATAGATTAGAGAGTAGGTTTGAACTGAACCCCCAACCACTTCGATGTAGTTCAATGTGAATGAGTTCTGATTGGTTAAAAGGAGTGCATCGAAGACTTTTTAAGACCTCCTGTCTGCACCAGTAGCGACATGCTCGCAGTCGTTAAGCCTGTTTAAAAAATATTACCTAACGGCATAATTCTCCAATGAAATGTGCTCATCACACGCACACTAGCACACACACAAACACGCATTGTGTGCGTGCGTTTATCGTTTGCGTGACTTCGTGTGTGTGCGCGCGATAAGCACGCGAGGCACATTTGGGCATTACGGCGTGAGCACACTCACAACACCCGCCGTCTGCTTGTTTAAATTAATCGAAAATAAAATTGGTTTCCAACGCCAGCCCGTATTGGGGAATATGCTTTATGTTGGCGTGCTAAGTCGTGGCCTTAAGTTGGCCTCTGGAAGATATTGGTTTAGCTAGTCAGACGCATTGTGCAATTGACGTCTTCTGTGATTTTCAAAATATGGACTTTCAGGTTATTTGCTAGCCATAAGTTAAAACCCCGCCAACCAGCGTCAGTCGTTAAACCCACAACGGTATTCTACAATTGTTTTGATTAACTATTCTGGTTTAAATTGGCGCCAGTTTCCCATGGAGCATCGCTCACTTTTGTCAAGTGCTAATTATGCGACAAACGGTAGTAACTTATGCATGCTGAAATCACCTACTACTGGGTTTTCCTTAAACGAAAAAACGCCAAGAACACCCGTTTTGAATTGCAAATTCCTGGATCGATGTCTCGCCACGCCGTTGATCGTCTTGTTTTAATGCGAGTTTCGTTGCCTAGGGCTGATCCGAAGGCGAGACGCGAATTTGACGATTTGTGTCTCAAATTGAAAGACGTCGAAGGCCAACTAGCGGCATCAGTCCCACTCATCAACTTCATGAACAAAATCATCCGGATGAATGATCTTTACGCCAGCGACGAGGAGCCATTTGCTTCGGAGTACGAGAAGGTAATCAATCTTGATGCCTTGATGTCTTCCCCTCCATTTAATGACCTTGAACTAAGACTGCCAGTAATTCCTTCAGCCGAACAGGTCTTCGTCTAGACGCAAGAGCTTCGAATTCGTTCGACGGCTGGAAGAGAAGGAGGTTGCTCAGGCCTTGGAGGAGGGTATGTCTCGATCGAATACACCGCCACTGCCTACGAGGAGCCTTGGCATTGTCACGTCTGCAGAGTTGTTCAGGCGGAAACGTCAACAGTCAGTTCAAAGTAGAGTCAACCTGGAAGACTATCCAGAGGACTTCTCCATCAGATCGCGGAGGTTGCAGTTGGAGGAGGAATTGCGCCAGCTTGATGAACTCTGGAAGGAAGCTAGCAGCATCCGCACTGTGTCCGAATCCGCGCCCAGACCTACAGCGCCTTATAGTGTAGGCGGACAAAATTTTAGCTCGGCATTTCTCTAGGTCAGTAATATAACCTGTTTTCTCTACTCAAGTCTTCGGTGAATTCGCGTCGACAGCAGACACCGGTGACGAAGCGCGTGGCCTTGCGTCGATGCGATCAGACCGAGGCCGTCCGACCGCGATCGGAGAGTTCTGCCTACGTGCCAAGGCGCAGCACGAAGCTGCGTCCTCGTTCTGACCTTATCTCGTCCTTCTCTGCTGACCTTGACCGCAGAGCGCTCAGCCAATTGGACGTCGCGCTCGACTACCCAGCAAGCCCGCATGCCTATCGCTCTCAGCGTCCGTAAGTCTTGACCAACGATCATTGGCCGAGATTTCAGCCAATCAGATTGTAGTATCTGATTAGACTCTTCCCAGATAGCATTTTCGAGTCTACATTTGGTGTATGACTTAGTTTTTGCAGATTTTTCAGCAAATTTATTTATTTTAATAATTAAATAAGTAACCACGATATCAACCTTGGGATTACTTTCCATCATCTTCTGTGACCTTGCGCAATTTCTCAAATAACGTACAAATGGCCGTTTCTGATCCAGTTCTTCGCTCATCCCGACACCAGATTCACAGAACAACCTTCTTCTTCAAGTGCATGTGTTCATTCGTTGTGTTCACAGGTTGTGTTCGTTCAACGCATGTAGGAGGACCCAACTTCAAAGATATTGCAAAGTTATTTCCTAATTCGTGGAGACGCTTGGACATAGCTGGTTGGTTGACTCCTAACTGAGCTGCCGCACGCTCTTGTTGTGGTTGCCTTGAGTCATCATTCAGTAGACCTCGTAATTCCTCATCTTCAAGCTTTCGAGGCTGCTGTCCGGAACGCGGCTGGTCACTTAGGTCGATATCGCCACTTCTGAAACGTTTTTACCAATGATTGCACGTTTCATAAGACGCAACATCGGCTGCATCAAGAACTCTACAAGTTGATTTCCTCCTCCTGTGCTTTTGAAGACGTTTTTTCTTGTTGGAATGGAATGTGTGTAATATGCAGTGCCGCCGAATGTGCTGTTTGCCAGTCGCCATCGTCGTAACCTCTGCTATTCTGAGAGGTTCTGAAACTCACACGTAGACTTGTTGTTCAGTGTTGCAAAACCTTGCGTCCGACCCTTTCAAAACCACAAAAAACGTCTTTTTTAACACAATTGCAAGCTGACAATTAAGTCACACAGCAAGTAAGTTTTATTTATTTGACCACCTCTCAAGTGCCTCTTCGGCTGAGGTCAATGGACCTCCTGAACCCCTTCGAAGGCGTCAGCGCTTTGCTTCGGTCTCGTCTCCAACGACCACTCGATCTGCGTCCCACTTCCTCACCATTTCAAAAACGTTTTTACCAATGATTGCACGTTTCATAAGACACCACGTCTAATCGAATAAGATAACAAAAAGTCAAGGCCACACGTGATTGGCTCTCGTCCAACGTACACGAGTTTAGGTGGTCGTCATCTTCAAGGCTCTCGCCCAACGTCCCACAGATTTCCTCCTCCCAGCCAGCGTCGTAGTTGGCACCACCGCCATGAGCACGGGGCTGGCGCGGGAGGACGCCACGAGCATTGCGTTGCTGTGGTAGCGGTTTCGGTGTGGGCCTACGAGTGACGACGCCGTCCGTGGCATCCGACACGTCTTCGGACAGCGGTGAGAGCAGACTGACGCGGTCTTCGGGGGTGGGCGAGCGTGCCTTGATCGATGCGTCGGTCGTGGCGGTGGTTTGGCTGATGCCCAGCACACGCTCGGCCTTTGCGGTGTTGCCGATGGATGGATGACTCGCGCGCCAATAGGCTTCCAGGTACTCTGCTAGGTGCTCGCATGCATCCTGCAATTGGTTCTCCTCAAGAATCACGTCAAATTGGTCCTAGGAACAAAAAAATGCAAAAATCACGCATTAAAAACACCCATTATCAGTGGTAGGACATTGATTTTGCATTCGTGTCCCTAATTGGTCGACTTTGCCCTACGCAGTCCTCGTGATTGGTCAAGCTAGACCAGCCAATCAAAATCGTCCCTTCTACCTTACCGACACTACTTTCGCGCTAATAACCACTCATTGAGTAATTTTTGCATGATTTCACTGAAACAATTTCAAAATGTGATTAAGGACGCGGATGAGTATAAAATAACCTACGTTGGTGCATTGGAGCAGCTTCTCAGCGGCCACCATCTGCACATTCATGTTGCGTGACTGCGATTTGCCGCGGGTTTTAATGAGGCGTTGAAGGACCTTGGTGGAGGATACCTTGACGTAGACGTTCACCGGCGCGAGAGAGGTTTTCGCCAGTTGACTTGGGTGGTTGATTGTGTCGCAGTCTAGCACAACCAGCTGCTGCGTTCGGGCCAGGTCGAAGATGCGCTCGATCTCCTGTTGCACCTCTTGAAAGCGAGACAAACAATCAACCGTTAAGATCACTTAACTTAGTCTCAGTTAAAACAAACATCGTCAGATATTTAAATTCAAGTCAGTGTTGAGCTGGAGAAGAAGCGTCAAGGTCACCTTGGACCCCACGACACCCCACGTCCCAGACATTCAAGTGTAATCACACGTATCTGTTTGTTTTAATGCGTTAGAAGACGTGAATTGAAATGCAAGTGAAAAATCGATTTGAGAAGTGGAGTGAGGCGACTGTTCTGCGGACTCTCGGACAGTTATAGATCACAAATTGAACTCACCATACGATTGGTTTCTCGTCGACGCCCTATCCATAATTGCTCGTCGTGTCGGATTGTTGAGAAGTGAACGTTTTGCTAGAGAAATGTCTGCGGTCACTCGAGTGATGATAATCCTATTAATGGCAGCACACAGAAAACAATCAGTACTACTCACGCAGAAACGAGTAGTGAGCTTGTCCACAACAGAAGACCGTCGAAATTTGTTACTGAACAACGATGACCCAACTTTAGTGCATGCCACAACACCAAGATGAACGTCATGCACGGATTGGCCACTGAGTGCAACAAGGCGATTGGCTAATTGCATTCTCTAGTTTGATTCGTCACCCCCAAAAAAGGCTGACATTGACTCGATCTGTGTGCTCACTTCATACCTTCCCTCGAATCGGTGCTTCAAGAAGTCAAACAGTGCCTTCTGCATCATGTCGGTGACCTCGTAGCCCTTCAACGAGGGCCCAATCAGGACGACGGGTCGCATGGTTGGCACGACCTCATAGGGCGGAATATTGTCGGCCTGGAAAAGTCCAAAATCCTTAACACCCAAACGAAGGCTTGTGCGCTAGCAACAGAACGAGACCCACCTTCTTAAAGAAGGCCTTCCGACCGCCCTTTGGGTTGTTGATCCCCTTGCTGCGAGAACCTGGTTCACCGTCGTCTCGACCTTCACCATCGGTGTCACCTGAAGGCGCGGAAAAAACCCACCTTTAGCGACTCTAAAGCAAACAAGACCATCGAAGATCGATCAAAAGTTGACGTGAACTGTCAGCTTACCTGGCGGTGTGGAAGCCCGAGACGTCGAGGAACGCTGAAGTGTTGGTGGATCGAAGTTGCCCTTGCTAAAAGGAGGGAAAAAACGCACTGTGTTGGGTAAAATTAGAGGCATATTTACACTGCAAGCAAATCAATGCTGCACGGCTTAACCTTGCGGATTTGGGCGGGCGACATTGGGTTCGAAGGTGCTCCAACTTAGCTGGCGATGGAATGAAGCCGACATCTGAGTTCTCCTTCACCAAACGACCTATCCACCACTCGTTGTTGAATTTTTCTTTAATGTGGAGGAAGTCTTTTAGCTAAAGTAAAGCAAAAATATTTATTTGGTAGAGAAGGCTGCATGACATTAACCACACAATTTATTAAGAAGAATAGCCATATTCGGCAAATACATGTATACTTGAAGGCAAGTGGAGTAATTCTTACTTGGAAACCAACTACGTGGCCTGGTAACGGACAATCAACACAGATGGAAGCGTCAAAGCTGACGTTAGTGCGAACAGCGAACACCACCGTGGACACCTACAAGTCAAAAGTTCGTTCTTTTTTATTAAAAGATATCGTGGCATTATCAAAATGAGGCAATTTCTCTGCACAAAGTAGGGAAACCTATGTGTCTGTGCAACGCAGAAGTGGGTGGCACGTACTCTAGCCTTCTCTAACTGTTCCTTTGCAAGTCTTTCAAGTTCTAATCGCTCGGTTTCAGCATCTAGAGACTTGCTGCCATCATCATCATCCCCATCATCATCGTCCTCCTCATCGTCATCTTCGTCGTCGTCTTCTTCCACTTCAAAGCTAACTTGCGACGATGGCATTGATCGCTCCGAATCCTCAGACAGGCAAAATATCATTTTTAAAGCCCATATGCCTGCTTTGACTTAGGCGGAACGTAGACAATGTGAAATGGATTTATTAAATGACAAAAGTAAACGCCTCTCACATGATAAGTAAAGCCAAGTGATGAATTTTCGCAGCCTTTCCAGGTTATAAAACGCACTCCCATTAAGAAACGTGTGTTAGGAGAAGCATGATCCAAATCAGAGAAGAAAATTAGGAATTTTAATACAATGTGCACTAAAAAAATTGAGTGCAGGCCATTAGTAAATTTGCAAGCTTCTTACTTAAGCAACGTAGGGGAAGTAGAATTTAAACAAAAGAAAGCTAGTATTGTGCGAGCGTTTTCTAGATAACAGCTTGACCACATTCAATGAAATTTCATCGACAACAGTGATATGAAAGTAACTAATACACTAATGGGATTCAGTATATTTAAATACCTGTCGTTCAAAATTCCCACTGTTTCCTGAAAATACGCTATTTGATCGCATGCCAATCATGGGTAGCAACCTGTAAGTAGAAAACAGAACGACTTAAAGTGACTGATATGTATGAGAATTGCAATTGATATGAATAGTCTCAGAAGGCCTAAATAAGCACGTTTATAAAAGAACATTTTTGAAGTTTATATCAAATCATATTTATAGTGTCTTGTCTGATGGATAAACGGGATGTGGATACAAAAATAGTGACAACAACGTAGAGAAGAGTACTGTGGAAAAAAGGGATTGCCTCAGCAGTAAATCCGTTTAAACTTGAAGAAAGGCATATTTACAATAATCATGCTACATTTAACAATAAGACCCGTAGGCGCGACAGAAAGAAATTGTTGAGTTTGGACTTTGCACAGCAGATACGTTTACTAATATTCAGAAAAAGGCATAAAAAAAATAAATAAAAAAATAATGCTTAAGAAGTTGCTAAAGACATGAAATATCGCTTAAATATATCGTGAAATAACAAAATACGCATAAAATTCATGAAGATGGTGCAGCCAATCACGAACAAGTTTTATTAATTCAAAAAGATTTTTCGACCTTAACATGAGTGACATAAATTAGGATATATGAACAAAGTAAAAAATGATTATAATGTATTTTTTTTATTTAGTTAATCATAAAATTAAAGAATTTTTTTTGCAGTATTTGCTAATTAATAGTGTACTATAAGCAAACAGTCAAAAACTCCAAATTGTAAAAAATTAATTACCGATGATTATTATTAAATTTGACATGACATTCGCAACCTTCAAAACTGAGATATATCTGTTTCCTTGTCGCTTAGTTTCAACTTAGGGATTAGGTAAATTTAGTGATATTCATTGTGGAACTGGATACGCAATTTTTTATTAATCCTAATCCCAGGAAATCAATTTTTGGTAGCCGTCCTTTTAATTAAAACGCAGTTCATGACGGTTTTAGTCAACTTGCTTACTTGAATTTAATCTCTATACTCTTTCAAGAGCACGCCACTGGTATTTGGGCAGAGGATTTTAAATATTGCGTCCGAGAAGTGGTTTTCCACATTTCAAATTTGGCTGGAATGAGTTAACTGCCTTTTATTCGATATTTGACTTTAGATTTGAGTAATAATTTTATAAATACCAAAGCACTGATACACGTTCAATAAAAAAATACCTTCAAGGATGTTCGTTTTTAGCAGCACAATTAGCTTTGTACTACTTCATAAATTTAACTGTAAAGTTAACGCTCTAACATTAACTACGAAGCAATTCTACGTTATAACTGACATTTTATGCTTTGTATGTCACGAATGATATTTGACGTCGGGCAACTAAGTCTTAACTGTGAGTAGATATGGTAGTAAAACTTTCCTACCGATACCCTGATTAGTTAAAATGTCATCACCTAGTTCATTAAAACTGTCGCCGATTCATTAATTAAATTTTAAAGAAACTAAAGCATTACGCAAAGCACATTACCAAGTTCACATATTAGACACTAATCCATTTAGAGGATAATAAAAATAAACACAATTCTTTACATTACACTTAACTTTCCTTGACATCTATGTCCGGAAAATATTTGTAGCATTAAGTGCCTGTAAGAAAATGTTTTTAATTTTGAATTAATTAAATTGAAAAAAAAATAAACGCTTATTCATGCCGACTTCGTTAACAGAATGATAAATGAAGAAAAAAATGCCAAACTGCCACTGAATAATTATGTTCTAGCCGGGTTCCCTAAATTTATTGACATTAATTCAGATTAACACTGCAAAATGTTTTTGGTAGGAATACCTATTAAACTATAACCCTACCAATATACAATCGATAATTGTGTTCTTGTTTTGCTTTAAAAACTTGTGTGTGTGCGTAAATGCTGGTTTTCATGTATTTTCTTGTCCTTTAAATCAATTAAACAACACTTTTGCAGTCCATTTAGAAAAAAAATTGTAGAACAATAATTTCTCTATACTTCAAACAGGCTAATATTACAATTAAACAAAGACTGAAACTTGTTCGTGGATGTTTTTTTACTGACACTAAAGTGCCATTTTCTTCTTTAATGTGTCTTTGACTTATCGGACTAAGTCTGTGATCTAAAAATGCAATATATCCTGAAACTATTGCATACTTCCTTAGCTTTTTACAATTGTTAGCATGACCTCCAGGTCCGTGGCTGTGAAGAAAAAAATATGCACAAGCGTGTGCAACATTTTGACGACAACAAGCTTTTGCCAAACTGACAACCAATTCAATTATTTCGACCCTGGTAAATTTCAAAAAAAACAAACCATGGAGGAAGAGTTTGGCACAGAAGGCAAAAGAAAACCATTGGAAGAATCCGTTTTGGTCAAAATCACACATTTGTCTGAGTGTGTGTGATTTAAAAAAAAAAAACTTGGAAAAATCTGTCCTGAGGTTAATGTTTGAGACAATTATGACGACAGTCTTTGTCACAGGTACTAGAAAAATTGAGTTTTAATTAAGGGAAATGGATTACGCACTTTTTAACTTTCCCTTGGTGATATAGTGGTCAAGTTAGCTCACTTAAACTCCACTCTGTCGTGCAATGCACCCTAGCTATTTAACTGTTTATTCTTACATGTAATAATGCGTAAAGTTTTTGTTTAAATAGATTAAATTATAGTGTCATTTGATTGGTGCACTCATTATTCTCTGCTGTTTTTCAGAAATGGAAACCGATCGATTAACTGTGGCAATTGTATCTGTTCTCAGTCGCAGTTTCTTTGAAATACAGCCACACACGCACACCCGAATTCTTGGTAGCTCCTTGAATCAGCGGTAGCTACGTCGTCTACAGTGATTCATCAAATTTGTGTGTGTGAAAGTACGCATATATGGCGCAATTTGAGATGAGATTGGCTTTTCCAACTGTCGAGAACTTACTCGCACCAAATGCTATTAGTTACCGCAACAGGTTTGCGAAAATTCCGACCTGCAAGGCCGAAAATTGAATTAGAATTCCTTGTCATAGTGCTGCCTGATCGCCGTGAAGTGATATCGTGTGGTAAACGTTTTATGCATTAGTTTCTAGAAAGTAGTAAACGAAAGTTACCTTGGTAAACTTTGCGGGGAACGTTGATAACCCCGGTCTATTCTGTTTACCCATTTCGAAGTGCTTTGAGCGAAATTTCGCAAACCAAACAAATTTTAAGGTTAATGTCAGCAACATTAGGTTCTGGAGATTAAAGCGGTCTAAAATCAGGTTTTAAATAGATTCCTGTGTTTAAATTACTTCCGAATTAGGGACAAATAGAGTCTGTTTTCAACAAAAGCTACAAGGTCACCTTGACCTCAATGTGGTTGAAATTGTTTTCAGAATTTTAAAAGTTCCACCTAGAAAAGCACGTGTACTCGCAGTAAATACTCCCTGGGAAATTAAGTCGAAGAATTGACAACTCACGTTGAATATTTTCACGTTTAACTTGACACAACTAAAAAAGGCAGAATTTAGGATAAAAGATGTGTCGTTTTAACTTGAGTTTGATGTTCCTAAACTCAACGTAACCAGATTAATCGATAGGCAACCAGCAGAGAGGAAAAATCGATATCGATATTTGCTCGTCTGGGCGGTAATTCGAGAAGCGCGGCATTAATATTGTGGATTCGATTTTAAATCCCAATTTGCATGGTTTTAAACAAATTTATTTATTAAACAATTTGGCCCATTATTTTTCTTTGTAAAAAATTCTATTGTTTTAATTTATAGTTTCTTTTGGCTACAGAAGTCTGATAGAATTTTAAGCAAAAATTATCCATTAATTGTAACTACATTTAGTAAAACACTCTTGAGGTAGGCACTTTGAGGGTGAAATGAGACTCCCAGTTTCCATTATTTCAATTTTAGATAAGTTTTTAACCAAAGAAACACTTGGAAAACGTTGTCTCCTTAATTTACGACAACTTAGGTATCGGTTTGGAGGTGATTGCAAAACTATTCAAGAATGCACTAGACCAGTTTTAAGAATCTAGCGTTCATCGAATCACTGGTGCCTTTTTCACACATTCTCGCTCTCGTCTTGGTGTTTCCTGCCAAGACTGGTGCACACACACACACACACACTCACAAACACATGACTTTGAACCAACGGGGAAGCGTCCTGGTTGAAAGTAATGTGGGTGAATAGAGTACCTCCGCGAAGCCAATTCATTCGCAAGACAGCACATCCGTTGACCTCTTCAACTACTCAAAATGCCCGTCAAAATTGTAAGTCTTTACTCCAACGAAAACTTGTAAATTTTTCTAGCATTTAGTCTCAAATCAAGTTTTCACTGCTTAGCTGTGTTAGGTCTGATCTTAGATTCAGGGCTATGCATACCTAAATTTCACATTTTTACTGTAATGATTGCCAAATAAGTGGGAATAGAGGTGTAGTGTGTACGATCCTTCTGAACGGTCATGCACACATAATATTGTGTTAACAAGAAGGGTTTCCATGACATGTTTTTGGTGTGATTTCTGCTATCTGTTGCACCAAAAATATTTTTACTTTCTGTTCCGAATTTCAAAAATTGGAAGACAACGTAGACTATTTGCTAAAAGTTGTCTTGTGTGTGTATGCATTAGGTGTCGATTTTGTCGTTTAAAAAACCGTCTAATTGAGGTTTCAAAGGTTGTGAAAAATAGTGTTTAAAAGCACAGGAGTTTCGTTTATTAAAGTGGAACAAGCTTTACCTATCAGTTGGCAATTTTGTTTATACAAATTGTTTTTTTTATCACTGCATTTAAGCACCGCAATTGTGAATGTAAATTCATTCAGTTTGAGTTAATTCTGCGTGAGTTTTTGCGTCGATTTAAATACATTCCTTGCAGATCTACGATCCCGATAATTCCTCGGGTCGGACGGTGAACAAGAATTACTCGAACCGGAGTCTCGTTAATGGGAAGGTGATAAACGTCAAGGTGCCTACTCCAGATGACTACAGTACGTGTATTTGCTATGAATATTGATTTTTGCGAGTTTGTTTAAATCTGAACATTACCCGCCAATTTCGAGAGAGTTATTTACACACACATCCGGCGGTTGGTTTATCTAGAGGTGGCGGTGTATTTAAACAACACCCACATAGTACGTGAAGTAGAGCATGAACGAGGGCAGAAGAATGTAAAATAATCCAGTGTAGCAGTCATGGTAACATCCAATCTCATGCATTTGACCTCCTGCACTGTGCCGGTAGCTAGATGAGGCAATTCAAAGCGCTAGTTGATAAATATGAAGACGTGGGGGCTGCCAAAAGTGCTGCCAGATGGGCCGATCCCAGTGCCACGAATACATCATGTCAAAATCAACAGGAAAACGCCTCAACCACGAAGTGCATCGAGTCCACGAGTGTTGCTAGACGGCAGGAATCCTAGTTGGTAAAGTTTGGTCCAATTTAATCACCGCTTTCGACCCACAGGCGGTCGGAGGAAACAGAGAAGGCATCAGAAAGACGCATGTGGAGGTTTGAGAGAATGCCTCCAGGTAACTCATACCGTGTGTGGAAGCTTTTTAAATGAATTGTCTTTAAGATAAGGGGATAGTAGGCGCGCTTTTGCGCCAATAGGGATCACAGCTGCTCGTCTTGTGACTTTCAGAGAAATCGGCGGCTCCGCAAAAGTCCAGCAAACGCATGAACTTCAACCCCAATGTCCCGCGAAATCTCACACCGAAGGGCTACACCAAAGTGAGTAATTTTCTGTCCCCGAAATCGTGTTAGTCTCAAACAGACAGTCAAGCCAGCGCTTGTTCACCCCCTGTAGATGCAACTCATGATGAGTATTGCTCAGAAGAAGTACGACAACATCGTGAGAAAACTCAAGGGAACCAACTCCCTCTACGAGGATCCGGAGTTCCCGCTTAACTCCGTCATTGGAAACATTGGGAAGCTGCCTAAAATTGAGTGGAAGCGTCCGAAGGTAGTGCATTTGCATTCAAACCAATCACAGCCTGAACGGGCAGTGATCGATTTTCTTTAATTATAGGAAATCAATCCTAGGGCTGACTTTATTGTGGACGGATTCGACAGAAGTGACGTGGAACAGGGTCAAATTGGTAGGTTTGAATGAAGTTTCCCCTTTTTTTTAACTGAATGAAACCACCGTGCCTGGCGTCAGAAGTCGGTTGTGTGGTCTTCTGTAGGTGACTGTTGGCTTCTGGCTGTGATATCGTCGATGGCCGACATTCCGGACCTTTTTAATCACATTGTGCCTAAGAACCAGTCCATCCAATCGGATGACTACGTTGGTGTCTTTCGGTTCCACTTCTGGCAGTTCGGCCAATGGGTGGAGGTGTTGGTGGATGATCGTTTACCGGTGATTGCCGGCACCAATCGACTGATCTTCATGCACTCCGACGAAAGCAACGAGTTCTGGTCCGCACTCATCGAGAAGGCATACGCCAAGTAGGCATTTTACAAATCGGAGTTTTGTCTTTGGTGATATTTGAATTCGCGCTCACCCGTGATTGGTGGCTTTAAAATCATCGCAAAAAAACCTGAATTGATGCTTACACACTGCCGTGCCCGTACTTTACAACCAATCGATCATGTTACGTCGTGTTTTAGACTGAACGGTAGCTATGCTAACCTATCAGGCGGGACTCAGGGTGAGGCAATGGAGGATTTGACCGGAGGTCTCAGTGAGTCAATCGATCTGACGAAAATATCCGAGGAGGTATTGGTCCACGATCTCTACAAATACCAGCAGCGCTGCTGTCTCATGGGCTGCTCAGTAACTGTAAGTCAGTCACCCTCACTTCCTATTAGTCAATTCCGTCTTGTTTTAATGAGGTTTCCGACCACAGGTAATTTTTTTAGGAAATATGCTTAAAGCTATTTCATTTTTCAGTCAAAAGAAATCGAAGCCAAACTGCAAAACGGTTTGATAGCGGGACACGCGTATAGTGTGACGGGAGTCGAGCATGTAAGTCAATTTCTTGCACAATTTTTCACTAATATTTTAAATTTTACCCTGTTCTGACTTGGTACATTGGCACAAATTGTTCTAATCGAATTACCCCTCACAGGTGCTCCAAATTTTGGCAAACAAAATTAACTACCGTTAGAAAGGCTTTTACTTTAACTGGGTTAAACGCCAACAACAGCATAGTATTTAAAATCCTGCATCATGTTTGCGTGGGAAATTTTTTAATTTCTAGTTTGGTTTGCTTTTTTAAATACTTGATTCGTGTCCAGAATTTGCAAGTCCTCAAACGATCGATTTGATTGGTTGAGCGTTCCCTGCTTGAAAGCGCCGCCCTAGAAAAGCCAATCAATCAAGTCCGATTTTTCAAGACAAGCTGGTTGGCCAATAAGACGTAAGGAAAGCAATCAGAAGTGAATTTTTAGAAAAAAACTGCATACCTGATGCACTTTTGCCAATGTGCCACCCTTGTTTTTAACTCCAAACTGACAGTTTGGTGCAGTCGTAGGTTGACACGAGCGTTGTGCAGCCGTCAAAGTGACAAGTGATTGGTGTAAAAAAAGGGCAATGTCATTTTTTTCACCACTCTCCCCCTCTCTCAACTGCCTTCTTCGATGCAATTCAGGTTACGTATCAGGGGAAACAGGTGAACCTGGTGCGCGTTCGTAACCCCTGGGGTAACAATTACGAGTGGAAAGGCAAGTGGGCCGACAACGCCCCAGAATGGAAATTGGTGAGCCCGGAGGACAAGAAGCGGCTCGACGTCACCTTCGGTGGCGATGGAGAATTCTGGTAAGGCTGAAACACCTAATTTAGACTTAAAAACTGAAAAATTTCGGTGAGGCCCGCTAACGCATAACCCTAACACCGCAAGAATTCAAGTATCTCCGCACACCACACCATCAATTGTTCTTAAAATGCTTTCTTTACGCAGCTTGAATCGCTTTAATGAGCCCAGTTTGGCGGTGTGGGCGAGTTTGGCCTGAGTAAAGCAAAAATCTGAATTTGTAAGCATCTTAAGCGAGTCGGTGGGAATGTGAGAGGACGGAATTAGGTGAAGGACTTGTAAACGCACTCACAACATGTGAATTAACTGGTGGCAGTGTGCTTAATCATCTGGGATCGCCCTTGCTCTCTACACACAATGCCCTGACCAAGTACAAGTTGATGATGATGATGATCGCGGTCTTGCAAAGAGCACACCGTCATAATTTCGGTTTTCTCTCATTTTTCCAGTCCACCCACTGTGGTTAATTTCCATAAGAGAGACGTGGGATTACAACGAGGCCGCAAAATATTGTGTCACCACAGAATCACCGAAAGTCACCTGAATTATCGATTAACTTGACATTTTGAAATTCGTGTTAAATTAAACCAATCAAAATTTAGCACAGGTGTTTCTGGTTTGTTTTAAATAACATCAGTCGTGTTAAAGAGTTCTGATAACCATTGGATGCAGCGCATAGTGATCTGTTACCATAGCAACAAGACACTCAGTTTCGACGCTTATTGTCAACAACTAATGGGATTGGAATAAGTAACAACCGGGATCGAATAACTGCACAGTAGTCATGTTTTGTCTCCACGACGATAATTTTAAATCCGCTTCATGATGGTGTTTAACTAAAATGAAGGAATTAGCAACGGTGTTTGAATGACCGCCAACATGAAAAGTATTCTGTTTCCTACAGGATGTCGGTAGAGGACTTCATGACGAATTTCACCAAACTGGAAGTGTGCCACTTGGGTCATGGTGCTCTGGAAAGTGACATGACAGTGCGTGGAAAGAAACGTCTAGAGGAAACCTTCTTCTCCGGCGAGTGGACCAAAAACGTCAACGCTGGTGGTTGTGCAAATTTCAGAGGTTTGTATTCTTTTCAAAGTACCCGCTACTAAATTGATTTAAGTAATTCGCAATTTGCTAATTTGGTAAACAAGCTGGAAGTTGGCGTTTTGCTTTGCAGACACTTTTTGGACAAATCCTCAATTCAAAATAACCGTCACTGATCCCGATCCTACTGACAATGATGACACAGCGACGCTCATTATTGGTCTGATGCAAACGAACATGCGGAGGAAGGCTGGGGCTCGATTCCTCACAATTGGATTTTGCGTTTATCAGGTGAGGAATTAATTTCAATTATAAAAACAGGCTACTAAATGTTTGTTAGTAGAATCAATTATATTTAGCAACTGCAGATGTCTGGTTGCTTATATTGTTATCTACACAGATTCCGCCAGACACTGAAGGCCTCATGAAGCGCAACTTCTTTAACATGAACCGTCCAATCTCAATTTCGGAGTTCACGAATACTCGTGAGGTTGTCGTTAAGCTGAAGGTCAAACCTGGATGCTACCTGATCGTGCCTAGTACCTTCAATCCAAACGAGGAGGCCCAATTCATTATTCGTGCTTTCACTGAAACCATTGTCAAGGAATCGTAAGTCATGACCAGCTTTGGCTTTATCCATATCCATATAATCGATGAATTGGGCATGGTTGGCAAGTAGTGCTCACCGCAATGCATTGATGGAGATGCGATTTAAGCGGTCAAAACCGATAGCTGCATTTTTTAAGTGATTGTTGGGATAATCTGAAAACTTACATGAGTATTGATATCCCATTTTAGTGAATGTGACGACAAGAACTCCTTCAAAGGCCTTTCCGAGGTGAGTTGTGTGTCAACCAATCAGAATGATTTGATGACACCGACCAATCAGAATGCGCCTCGTAAGGGTACTAAATTCAAATCGTAAAAGTTGTTGTGATGGCTAGGTTTTGTGCCGTACAATCCAGCGAGCTGTAAAATCTCAAAGTTCATTTGAATAACTTTGGTAATGGTTGCATTTATTTTAATTCAGGAAATGCTGAAGGCCATCAAGGAGGCTGAGAAAACGAAGGTAAGCCAACTACGATGATGACGACGATAATGATTGTAATCCGTTGTTTGGATACGGATTTCCGTAAGAATAGCGTGTGCAATTATAGAACGAGGACGACTTCGTGGACAGTCTTTTCAATTCATACAAGGACCCAGTAACGAAGTCCATCAATGCGGAACAACTTCGTGATATCTTGAATAAGTCGACGCTAAAAGGTGGGTAAGACCCTTCTAATGGGCACCAAAAAGCTTTCAAAAATCTAAAAAAATTATTTTGCTAATTTTTTTGCATTCTAGCTAGCTGCACCGACCCCAATGGTTTCACCTTGGAGACAACACGCAGTATGCTTGCATCAATGGATGTATCCTTTTAAAAGAGTTGAAAATATTTTCAAAATTTTAAATTTAAATCCACTCACTACGTCAGATTATTACCTCGATAGTCGTATAAACAGGGCTTATCATAAACAGAAAGTGTCGTTTGTGACAATGCACTCCTTGCAATATTTCCTTAACTCTCGGCAATCACTCAAGAGCAATTTGACAGGCAAAATGGAGTACGACGAATTTAAAAAGCTCTGGGAGAATTGCCAGTGTTGGCGGGTAAGTTAAAACGCATCTCGCTTAGCCAAAGGCAACAATTCTTTTTGCTGGCAGAGCATATCCAATGATATGATTGGCTTTTATTTCAGGATGTCTTTTGTCAACGCGACAAGGACAAGAGCAAAAATTTCAACGTTACCGAACTGCGTGAGGCGTTGATGGATGCAGGTAAATTTTATCTGATGTGCTTGCCTGTACACAGACACGCTAGTATGCGGTTTCAGTAATTTAGTCGTTAGCCAATTATAATCTAAATTTTGTAGCTCAGGTAGTTATTGATTTATTGTACTTTTCTCAAAAATTTTGCATAGGTTTCAATCTGTCCGGTATGGTGTTCACGGTTGTGGTTCAACGATTCGTCACCCAAAAGATAAACGCCGTCACCTTTGAAGATTGGATTCTTTGCTGTGTTCGTTTGAAGAATTGTTTTGAAAATATGAAGGCACAGTTCAAGACCAACGATGGGCATCTGATATTCACCGAGAGTGATGTAAGTTGAAAATGATATTTTTTACTATTCATATTTGCGAGAAAATTGAACTAATTTGTCTATCCTTCTTTCAGTTCCTTCGGCTCACTCTGAATCAGTAGTCAAGTCGGCAATGGAGGGCCAGACGGCTCTGTTCTCTTGTGGAATTCTTCATATTTACTAGCGAATTACTTGTTCCTTTGGTTAAATACAAAATTAAGTACACGTTTGTGATGACCATTGTTTTTAATTTACTACTTTTGGACCAGTATTTTGTGGTATCTAAACTGATTTGATTCCACTCAGGTTGTTAACCAGTGATTTTATAGAAATCCACCTTTTTAAAAAAAAATTAGAAAATTATTTTGAGAGCATTATGGTGTAGACTGAGTTCAAACTCAATTAATGATCATGAGGTAAGGTTACTAAAAACAGCTACTGTAACTTGCCAACAAACCATGTCAATTAAACACTAAAATTGATGTCATTAATGACATTTCAATAAAATGGGCATACAAAATATACCTCAAAATAAGTTTGCGCAACACAGTTAAACTAATTTTAATCTATATGCTAGCTAAAATTCTTTGCAGGTACTTGCAGGATTAAAACCTAATTATAGCCATCAGGCTAAAGTCAGAACACCTAGAAAGTAAACATGAAGTAAATTAAATTATGGAAAAAATTTGCGAAAAACCAGCCATTACTCATGTTACAAAATGTAAGATAAATATTTAAACCCTTTTCATGAAAAACAATTATTGCTCAGAGATGATTACAAAAGAAAACAAGTCATTATACGCTAAAGACTAAAATCGCAGGAAAATAGGGTGAACACAAGTCCGTTGCAATGAAATTATATATATGGCTTTAAAATAATCCATAAAGGGCCAAAATACATTAGCTATAACCTAATTCGTGTGTGAAAAATTTAAATTTTTAAAAGATTTATAAATCCGCAATTTTGAGAAGGCTCAAGATTGCATTTAAACTTAAAGAATTTGAAAGCCAGGATTTGTGAAAATTGAGGTTTTTCATGTCTAATTGCATTGCATAAAAACTGATTTTATACTTTTAGAAAAAATATGCAAAAAAATTCTTAAACATAAAGGCAAAATGCAATACGCTTTTTTCTTTGGACATAAAATATCTTAGGCAATCAAAAAGTGAGGGTTGATTTCCAATAATACACTACAGTGATAATTTATATAAAAAAATTAAACTTAATGGGCATTTTTTAATACATTCGAGTCAAAAATTAGAAATACAAATATATTTAAATAAAAGATCTTTGTTTTAATTTGTTAAATTACAGCCTTAAACTGTTGGTAGTATAATTGTAGCAATTTCGAAAAGCGACCCTGCCTCAATTTTAGGCATGTTTGGCGATATTTGTTATTATTTTTAAATGATTTTGCGAAATATTTTGGTTATGTAGCTTGGTGTACTAATAAACGATAAACAGTAACCTTTTGACTTCCTTGTCATTTTCATTAAAAACTTTTTAAGAAGATGAATTTAATATGAACTTATTTAAACAATGATGTGTAGATGCAGATAGGTTTGATGTTGAAAACCTACAACCTTTATTTATTTACGCAGCAAGATATTTTTAAAAATTTGAAGAATTGCTTAATTACGATTATGCTTTTTAATTTACATTTGCACAAAATTTTACAGTTCTTCTATATTTTGTAATTTAACACCGTTCGCTTTAGTACATTTAGCACAGGACCTTGACACAACGATGCTGTATTTAAAGATAATTTAGTTTTTTTTTGCCAAAACTGATCCATGCACTATTTTACATTATAATTATTTCTGGTGCATAATTTAAGGCCTTTCAGTTTATAAATATTTGCACCTAATGCCAAGCAATCTGTTTCTTCTTGATTGTACAGAGTGACTACTTTTAGTCTGACTACCTAATGAATTTGAAAATGTTTTAGAAATTTGCGCAAGTTTGCAATCATTTTAACCTTGTAATTTTGTAATACTTACAAACCCTATGACTACTCTTATAAACTTTAGAATTCGGCTTTATTAGGAGTCCGACCAAGGTTTTGATGGTGATTGATGCCCAAGAAAATACATTTGTATTCTTTTTTTAGGTAAAAATTCTGTTAATCTTCATCCAAGAAGCCCTTATTTGCATTCTCACTTCTTCATATTTTTAGGTTATGAATACGTTCTATGGGCTTGCCCAAAATCCTCTCTGCATTTCGCATCGCCATGTGTTTGTGCGCTACTCTTACCTTCAATTCCATATCAGCGACACACTTAAATTTAATACGCATCTTTGACAGCAGACTTTGGCTGGCAATAGAGTTTGTTCTACATCTTCTTAAAAACAAACACGCAGCTTTTTTGTAGAAATCAAATATTTGAGGTTGACACAGCAAACACGGCAACACCGCCAAGACTTATTCTTACGTGGCTCCAAAGCGAGCACTGCAGCCATCGTCTTCCTGCTAGCTGTTCTGGCTCAATAACCCACGTCACAGAAGTCGCCGTTGATTTGTTTGAGGTGTGTGGTCTGCACCAACACAAAGCTCTCTGTGGCTTGTACAGAAATACTGCTCAAGGCACGCTTGCAGCTGAGTCTGAGACGCGTGTTGCTGATGAATACATCAATCAATCCCTTGAACCATCTTCGATGCAATACTCAGGTTTGTGCTAATTTTTATAAGTCATGGTGGTGGAGCTGATGGTAAAAAAGATTTTGGAGCTGGTGATGATATTTGTGGTAGGGTAGATGGTGGTCATATTGGTAACGGCGGTAATGTTTGTGATGCTGGAGGTGTAGGAGATGGTGACAGCGTTGGTGGTGGTGATTGGGGTTGGCGTGGAGGAGGTAACGTTGGTGGCTCTGGGAGTGCTAATGAATTGAACTTTAGATATCCTTGTTAAATTCAATGTTAAACCTTTTGCAGGCAAGTAAATTTGTTTTAATGCGAAAAATTTATCAAACCTTGCAGAAGAACAATTGCGTTACGCGTATTCTAGGATAGGTTATTAAAAATATGCTAAGACATATTCTTTTGCACGTAAATTGACTCCGTGGCACACTATTCAGTTTACTCAAATTATTTTGTAAAATCACCCAGCTTGTTTTTACATCAGCGGCACAATGTTCTAATTAGCATGGCTTTAAAAACAGCAAATGGGTGAGTTTAATTTTGCTTCTCTTGTGATTCAGCGCTCATGTAGTGTTTTTGATTGTGAAAATCAAACGCGTTGCGGACATTTTTATGACCAAGATTCTCTGCAATTGGTTTTTTTCATTTCGTTTAAACCAGTGGTTAGTTTTCAAGCATTTCTTATCGCAAATAAAATCTGTAAACCGAGAACTTTGCTATTCATTTTTAGTCTAAACACTTGCATAGAAAAGCCAGCGATAGTATCTTTTTTAAAACACAATCAAACATTCTTTTGTCATTACAATCGCCTACGTTCCTCAAGATTAGCCAATCTAAGTTAATACTCGCCCCTTGGTGTCAACTTATTGGACAGTTTGAATTGCGTTCACAGTCATGGCTGAAATTAATCGATTGCTCTAACTTGTCTCACCAATCGATGGATTTGTACTTGGCGTGAAGGTCACGCACACAACATTCTTTTTACGCCCAAAATTTTGACCGTGAAACTCAGTACATTTCGCTCACCTCAGTAAATCTGATCATAACATTTTTCAGCTTTTAAATGAGAAAGTTAAAGAATCATCCTGCCTCTAAAGTTAATGTCCAGTTGACTAAAAGTTTACTCAGTAAATAATTATTATAACATTTCCAAATCAGTGATTTGGATATGTGCTGCATCTTCAACGTCAAAAACAAACCAGGTGGTCG